ATTGTGTGTTCGTAGTATACAAATTATAAATTTTTAATAGGTAAACTGTGAACATTTAGACTGAGATCCACAGAATAAATTGAGTCAATTAATTAGTCATTCTATATACATAACATTCAAAGTTGAGCATCGAAGATTACAAATAAGAAATTTCACCATTGGCCCATGGTCCACCGTATCAAAGCCCAATAGTTATGCTGTGCAACCGAATGTACCATGCGCATGTGCATACGATGCAAAACGACGTCGTTTTGACTAAAAATGCGTGTCCCACTTTAAAAAAAAAAATTCAGGTTCGATTCTCGGCAATAACATTATTGTGGATATATAGTTATGAATTTCTGGATATATAGTTATAAATTTGTGGATATATAGTTATGAATTTATGGATATTTAGTTCATTCATTGTGGATATTTAGTTCATTCATTGTAGATATTTACTTCATTCATTCACTGTGGATATATAGTTATGAATTTATGGATATATAGTTATGAATTTCTGGATATATAGTTATGAATTTATGGATATTTAGTTCATTCATTGTGGATATTTAGTTCAATCATTGTGGATATTTAGTTCATTCATTGTGGATATTTAGTTCATTCATTGTGGATTTTTACTTCATTCATTCATTCATTGTGGATTTTTACTTCATTCATTCACTGTGGATATATAGTTATGAATTTCTGGATATATAGTTATGAATTTCTGGATATATAAAAATGCTATTGTCGGGAATCGAACCTGATTTCTTCTTTAAGTGGAACGCGCGTTTTTTTTAACCAAAACGGCGCCGTTTTGTAACCGTATGCACCTTGCAAGGTGCATTCGGTTGCACAGCATAATTTGCGATCAAAGCCTGCCATTTGGCAATATGGGCTTCTAAAATCAAAGCTCACATCACTGTTATTGTGAGTTGGGACGAGTCAGCTCAACATGTACGACAAATTATGCTGTGACAAAAACAACGTCGTTTTGTATAAAACGTGCGCCCTACTTTAAAAAAAAAAAAATTCAGTTTCGATTCCTAGCAACAATATTATGTTATTCATTTTTAGTTCATTCATTTTGGATTTTTTAGTTATGAAATTCTGGAAGTGTAGTTATGCAATTTTGGAAGTGTAGTTATGCAATTATGGATGTGTAGTTATGAAGTTATGGATGTGTAGTTATGCAATTATGGAATTATAGTTATGCAATTTTAGAAGTGTAGTTATGCAATTCTAGAAGTGTAGTTATGCAATTCTGGAAGTGTAATTATGCAATTCTAGAAGTGTAGTTATGCAATTCTAGAAGTGTAGTTATGCAATTCTGAAAGTGTAATTATGCAATTCTGGAAGTGTAGTTATGCAATTCTGGATGTATAGTTATGAAATTATGGAAGTGTAGTGAAATTATGGATGTGTTGTTATGCAATTCTGATTTTTTTATTTTTTTTTTTTAAGTTAGACGCCAAAACGACGTCGTTTTTGCATCCGTATGCACCATGCATGGTGCATACGGATGCACAGCATAACGCTCCAACATGCACACTTCTTATATGGAAGAGCAATTTGGTGCCACTAGACCACAAGTTCTTTGACACTCTTCTAAATATTTTTTTGGAAATTTTCATGGTGCTTTCATTAGAAAAATGCTGCAATAATGTCAGGTGGGGATAGATCCCAATACAAAATAGTAGGCTGCTGGAACGCAGCAGATGCTAGCGCATGAGCTAAATAATTATCTGATCTAGGTATGAAATTAAAAGAACAAGAATTAAACGAAGCTGTAATAGATCTACAGCTATCAAGGGATAACCAACATACGAACGAACTGAAGATGAGGGTGCAATAAGATATCGTTGTAACGATAGACAATCTGTGTATAGATGTACTGATGTCTCACCCCAGTTCTTAAGCCATGATAACGCTTCTTTGCACGCAAACTCCTCTTCTAAATATTTAAGTAACATGAAATTCACAATACATTACCTAAAAATATTTCCTCCCTTAATCAAACGCGCCATAATGCTTCATTCTTGATTACTACATTCCCATACTTAGAGAGGGCAATTAACAATGTTTTTTACCAAGGTTGAAAAAATCGCTAGGCGTTCATTTTTTATTATTAATTTTTTAATTAAAAAAATTATTTAAACTCCCACCTAGGCCGCTTAGACGACCGCCTAGTCCACGGTGACCTACTCGGCCCCTAGGGCGCTTAGGCGGCCGACTGCCTAGAATGGTGATTCTGCCGAATTTCTAGCACCTAGGTGCGATTTTTGCAACCTTGCTTTTTACTATATACAAAATATGGATATTGATTAAATATAAAGGTAAAATGAAAAAAAAAAAATTGTGCCCTAAAATAGGTGTTCAGATGGATTGAACATGATTCTCATACCAGAAAATCACGAGTTTAATTTTTGCATGATTCTCGTCCTATGTAGCTTGTGAATAATTCCACATAAGCAAAGTTTATCTGGTACATACATGGGTAGTAACTGCGATTTCCTTGTTACTCCAAAAAAACAAAACAAAAAAAAAAAATGGTAACAACTTTATTTTATCTAATTTGGTAATTCTTATTCTTCTTCTTCTTCTTTTTTTTTTTTTTTTTTTTTTTTTTTTTTTTTTGAAAGATAATCTGGTACTTCTTAAAAGATAGGAAAGGTTAAAGATATTCGAGCTTAGAGCATCAATACCCTCTTACTTTTTTAAAAAAGTATTTAACTTTAATTTATTCTGTACCAAAATATTATAAGAGATGGAGAGATAAGATTCAAATATCAAGACACATTTTACTCCTACAAAATATTTGAAATTATTAACCAATTCTTTTGTTTGTTTGTTTGTTTTTTTTTTTTTTTGGTTTTGTTTTTCTTATTTTCATTAACATTTTTTTTATAATTTTCAAATTTGATTTTTTTGGATTTAATAGAATTTTTATAGAGTAGTTAAATATAAGTTTTTAGTGACTAACACTAAATTAAAAATTACAAATTTTGAGTTGTAAATAATTTATCAAACTTAATTATTCATGTTATATAATCATTTTGGGATGGAAAAAGTACTTGTTTTCTTGATTATACACACTTTATTTAACACCATGCATTATGTAAATATAGGTTTTGTTTGAACGGGTAACTATTAGTTGGTTGTGTTAACTAGCTAGTAGTATTAGTTGTTTGTAAATTATATACTTTTTGTGGGTAACATGTAAAATGGTGACAAGGAATTTATTTTATTACAATAATTTATTAATTATATAATAATTATATATAAATAAAAAATATCTTTTAATAAGTATTCTTCATAGCAAAAGAAAAAAGTATCCTTTATAATAATAAAAATAAAAATTAAAGAACATTTAATACAAAAAATACAATACAATAAAAATAAATATTTAAAAAATAAACATGTATTATATTAAAAATGACCTTTTAATATAGTAAAAATAAACTTATATATTAATGGTTCACAATATAACAATTGAAAATTAACTCGGTGGATTAGGGGTAATCTTACCCCACGAAACACATAAATAATTTAAAACGTATATCTTTAATTCAAAACTATTAAAATGTTATTAATTATACTATTCTCAAAAATCATTAAAATACTTCAATTCACAAATTTGTTTATGATTCAAATCCCTTTCGAATTTAAAGTTTTGGTTCCACACCTGGCTATGAAAACAATCCATGTATAGATTCAGGAAAGCATAGATACCTTGCTTAGAAGGACCAAAAATTAAACATTCTGTTCCTTTCTAAGGATACACAATTACACCTGCCTCATGTTGCTAAAACACAAAAACAACCAAATCTGAAAACAAAATCCCAAAATAAATATAACTTGGGAACATTGGTAAGAGTATTATTCTTATTTTTTATGTTAGACCATGAGGTGTCCTGAGCAGATTTTAATTGTAGGAGGCACGAGGTAGACTAATCTCCATTCACATCAAGTTGGCCCAATTAAGGGGCAAAGTGCTTTTCATACAAGAGGCAATCGTTATACGGTACCGTGCACCAGGGCGCACATAGCATTGTGCGCCCCGCGCCTCCCAAAATGACGTCGTTTTGTTAAGTTGTTAAAAAAACAAATTCTCTGTACAGAATGCACATAAACTCATAACAAAATACACATAAACTCATAACAGAGTACACATAATCTACATAATACACATAAACTTTTAACTTAATACACATAATGGGGTTTGGTTAACATAATACACATAAACTCTTACTGAATACACATAAACTCATTACAATACACATAAACTTTTGACTGAATACACATAATGGAGTTTGGTTAACATAACACAATACACATAATGGGGTTTGGTCTGTTCGGATGGACGTCAGTATGAAACGCGCGCGTTTGTGCTTGGGCGCACATTGCTATGTGCGCCGTGCTGCACGATATAAATTGCCTACAAGAGGGTAATCGTTATATCGAGGCACGAGGTGGGGCAAAGTGCTTTCCATATGAGAGGGTAATCATTATATCGTGTGCCTTGGTGCACAATATAATTTGTCACGAGAGGGGGTTCGAACTCCCAACCTCTCTTAAGAGATGAGAGTACACGATCATTTACACCAACCAAGCTGATTTGGTAAGAGTATTATTAATACAATTGGAGGTTCTAACCTTGGACATGTTATTAGCTCTGGACTAAACCTTTTCACGAGTTAAACTATACGGGCACAACAATAAAGGGGCAATTTTAGTCAAATTGGTTATACTGTTAACTTAGTAAACTACAAGGTTATAAAAGTTTGATTCTTGACAGGAGCGACAGTCTATTGCTTTTCTTAATTTGAGTCGATCAATTATAAATAACCTAAACTAATTTATCTACTTAAGAAATTTACTGTGCACATCATTGGACAGTGACTACGGTTTCCTCTTGATTCAAATAATAATAATAATAATAATAATAATAATAAAATAAATAAATAAACAGTAGCAGGCTCAAAATGTGTACATATATCTGCATATAAAATAGTATAGCCATCAGCCTCTGAAGTGCAGTGTAAGCCAACAAATGAGCAGAGAAGATAAACAAAAACAAAACCTCCAAAATTTCACCATCAATGGCGTAAAGCATTCACAACAACAAATACCCTTTGCGTGCCCGAAACCCATTTGGCTCATCCGCTCAACAGAATCCCCACGATTTGCTTATTTTAAGGTTTCTCTCTGAGTGTTTTTTCCCCCTTTTTTAATACCCGGAGTGGAGTGTGTCTGTGCCTGCGTTTGTGTGAAGATATATGAGGTGTTTTCAGGCGAGAAGGGTTCGTGTACCAGAAACTCGCAATCCTGGGAAAGCACGGAGAGCTAACGTTGGAGGGGATCTTCGATTGCATCCATGAAATCACCTCGGCTCTCGCCTTCTCTAGGATGACCGACTCCGCTTATCGCGTCCAAACCACTTCGCGCCTCGCCCAATGGCGGATCGACAACCTTGCCGCCTGCACTTACCGCAAGTCCGATCCTTTCAAGATCGGTAGATGGAATTGGTAAGTCCCCTGTTTTTTTCTTTCCAATTATATCATCCATTGCATGGATTTTAGAAATTTTTTTGATATGTTTTGTGTTCTTAGGATGATCAGTGATGGTGTTTTGTTGTTTTTATATACAGAAATCAATAAATTATTGGTTATTGGATCATGGGTTGTAGTAATTTTAGCACTAAGCTTAAGAGTGTAAGTTGTTTGTTTTGATTGGATGATCAATCTTGGTGGATTATGTAGGATTTGATACTGTTAAGGAAATGAAATAGGTTTTGTTTGAGTCCCTTGCCAAAATTATTGGATATTTTTAAAACTGATAATGCTTAGTTACAGGAAGGGGTGTGGCCTTTAAACTGTTAAAAAGATTTAAAGGAATAAAGGGTCCGTTTTTATGAGTTTCTTGTTCAGTTTCCAGGATGAGTTTAAGAGAAAATGAGGTTCTGAAGTTGTGTTTGGGTGTCATAATTGAAGTAAATTTTGTTGTTTTGTGTTGAAGGCATTTAGCTGTGGAGAAGAACAGAACATTGTGCATTAAATTGTACCCCGAGATTTCGAATTCAACGAGGGATAATCCTCCTATAGCGTCTTTTATCATTAGAGTAGTGTCGTCCTTTGGAGGTCGCAAGACTTTGGTTCACCCAGGTATAGCTATTTCTTTCGTTTTCTAGTTTGATACTTTTCTCTTCGGGTTCTTGTTCTTATTGTTTTTGGTATGATTTGGGATGCAGAAGTTGTGGACAAGCAGCTAAAGACCAACGAAGATTTCTCTTGGGCGATTGAAGTGCCATTTACGGGCAAATTCATCATAGACGTTGAGTTTCTTGATCTCAAGATCACCTCTCCAAATGTACTTCTTTACTCCTAAATCTCGTTTTGATGTTTTATTCATTCTATGGATTGATGCTTGCCTTACATACACATGAACTTAATGAGTTTGGTCACTCGTTTTTTTGTTGAAAAACAAAGGGTTGTGTCTGTTTAAGAACAGGCGGTTATGTCTGTTTAAGAATAGGCGGTTATGTCTGTTTATAGGGTTGTGTCTGTTTAACAACAGGTACTTAAATTTACAGTTATGTGTCTGTATATATATATGTACTATGTTTCTTCATTAGAAACATAGAATTATAGTCACGCGATTGTAATGAGTGTTTTCTTTCCATTGTTGCACAGACTAGAGAGCTTTGCTCGATCTGGGCCGAAGGGCATACAGAGAATGAGTCGAATGCGACTGCCTTGATATCTCTGGGCCGAATGTTGTCCGAAAGCATCCACACCGACATCCAAATCAACACTGCAGACGGGAGCATTGCCGCCCACCGAGCCGTCCTCGCTGCGAGGTCGCCCGTCTTCCGAAGCATGTTCTCTCACGACCTCAAGGAGAAAGAGATGTCCACCGTGGACATCTCCGATATGTCGGGCGAGGCTTGCCAGGCTTTCCTCAATTACATATACGGGAACATCCAGAACGGGGAATTCTTGACCCACCGGTTACCCCTGCTCCGGGCAGCCGACAAGTACGACGTCACGGACCTGAAAGAGGCGTGCCACGAGAGCCTGCTGCAGGACATTGACACCAAGAACGTTCTCGAGAGGCTCCAAAACGCCTCGCTTTATCAGCTCCCGAAGCTCAAGGCTTGTTGCATGCAGTATCTCGTGAAGTTCGGTAAGATTTATGACATTCACGACGATTTTAATGTGTTTCTGCAATATGCAGATAGAGAGCTGATTTCTGAAGTCTTTCATGAAATTCTTGGTGTCTGGAAAGGGTTCTGAATTTCTGGGTTGAAGAAAGTGAGGAAGGAATTCATTGGGAATGTTTGTATCAAATTGTTATTGGTGTTTCAGTTGTGTGCAACCATTTGTTCATTGGATAAAATTTGTTTGTTCAATGGAATTTGTCTGTGTATATAATTTATATATACCTAGACATGTACAGATCAATTTCACCAACTGAACAGATCATGGTATCCTGTTTATGTGCATACATATTTCTCATGAAATGTTTTCTTGTTCACTTAATATATGATTATTTATTCTTGAGATTTTTCTCTTTTTCACTCCCTAGACTTCAATCCCAATGCTACTTGTATCAAATCTCTTGCTCCAAACACTTGAATCCCAACTTCAAGGACTCTTCACACCTCGAGCCCGATAAAATATTTAGGGGAATGTAAATCACGGTAACTCAGTGGCTTAGCAGATATGGTCAAATTGTCGGTGTGTACAAGGGATTTGTTCACTTTGGACATAATACTACACTTTCACTGTTGAGTTTCGATAACATTGAGCAAGTTTGAAAGTCAGGACCAAAGTGGTGAAATCTTTATAGTCTAGGGACCAAATCAGATATTAACTCTAATATAAATGATCATAACATTTGATTTAGCCATGTCGGGGGTACAAATGATATGAAAAAAAGAAAAATGATAAATGAACTCCAAATAAGTAAACTTCCGCCATTTGTCTTGATTTTATTGAAAGGAGAAGAAAAGAAAGTAATACAAATGGTGACCCACATTTTATAAATGAATCAATATCATGTAAGTATATGAAGAAATAGTCCTGACATAACCCTTTTCATAATTCAACTATATATCCCGACATAGTTTAACTAATTAATCAACTCAAAAGAAGTAGATAACTTAGTTTTGTTGACAGCTCCTCCACCAAGTCTTCAGGATAAGAATAGTGAGATCCTCGAGATTAAAGTTTTATCCGGTTATGATTCAACTATACAAAGTTAGACCCCTTTTTAATCTTTTCCATAAAAAACACATTTACAGGCATTAGTGGAAGGACTACTGGTAGTGAAATTTATGTACTTGGACTGATTGTGGGAAGAAGATGAAATGCTTTGTTGGAAGATTTTTGTGAAGGGGGTATGTATGTTAGTGACAAATGGCACTGCTATGAAATGAGAGAAGGTGACTTAATAAATGTGATTGAACAGGAGTTTGGAAAATAATGCAATTGTTGGATGGGCAATCAACATCAAGAGGACAAAGAACTTCATTGTATTTTGAAGGTGCAAAAAGCCACTTCTAGAAACTATCTCATCATCAAAATCTCCTGTTATGAGCATTTTTTTTACACTAAATTCAAGATTTGATTGTGTGCATGAGTCATCACTTCACACCACTAAACTTTAATCTCTCGAACAACTCTTGTTTAGCCAGTTGAATAAAGAAAGCCATCAAGTTGATTGATGCACTAACATCTAAGAGACCTCTCGTTTAACCACTTAAACGAGTTACTAAATCAAATGGTCAAATCGACATCTGATTACATAGTCAAATAAGCATTTAAGAGACCTCCCGTTTAACAATGAAGTAAGTCACGAAGTTAGTAGCCGAACTAACATCTAGGAGACTCGTTTTTAACTAAATTGACATTTGAGTTCGTAGTCAAATCAGCATTTAAGAGACCTCCCGTTTAGCCGCTTAAACAAGTTACGGATTGAACTGGCATCTAGAAGACCTTGAGATTGTGGGGGTGAAACATCATAGTATTATGGGCAGAAATTCCTTACCTTTGTGGAGTTCTAAATAGGCTGTTTCAGTGCCCAATCATGGAACAATTCCAGCTGAGAAGAAAACATTGTCTGCAAAACCTGGTATTTCTCAAGGATACTGAGTAATAGATATATATATGTATATATAGGGACCTTTCAATAGGTTCTTGGAGAAGGAATATTATTAGCATCTATCTTTCTGGATTCTCATTCCTCAAAAAGAAAAAGACTAGCAGCATAATCAACAGTTTCTTGCATAAAATCTGGTCCGTTCATTTCAAGCTTTCAACATCAACCCCCATCTTAAAAAAACATTAGGAAAGATATCCAAATCTGTAAATCTTATAACTTCTGCAATAACATGATCCAGAGAAAGAATAAACAACAGCATAAAAAAGCAAAAAATGGTAATTATTTCTCGTTATTCCACTCACGCTTCCCGGCCTGCTTCATGAAGGGTCACACCGGAAAAAAGTTCTTTCGACCCTTTGATCAAACAAGCGACTGGTGTACAAGAATAAAGTTGCCCGTCAACCACCAAAAAGATAGGCACCTGCTCGAAAAACTTCAAAGCCTGTATGACTGCTGCCCTTCCCAACCCCAGCTCGACAAGCTTGCTCACTTTTGCTTCAAAATTCGGTTGGGATATTACTCTTCCCTTTAGAACCAACCGTTTCCCTAACATTATAAAACAGCCAAATCGGTTCAACAACACAACAAGTTCATCGAGGAAAATCTGTTGTCCAGCCAAAACTGGGTCCACCATTGGGTACAAAATGCTTTCCAATATGTGGTTGACCTTCAACCTTCAGGTTTTATCCAAGAATGTACCAACGAATAAGCTTTAAAGTTTCCCTCTTCACCAAAATGACAATAAACATAAAATAGTAAGAATATGTATTTAAAAATAGAATTCAAATTCCAAACAACAGAACCTACCATAACAGTTTAACAATGGATGTCTGAGAGGCAAATGGCCCTTCATTTGCAAGAATTCACAGTTCAGCAAATCACCATTAGCTATTCAAAAAGAGCACAAGTTTCAATTATTTTGGGACTAAAAGGGAGAGGGAATATCATTCAAAAGTCTATTAGAAAGTAACAAAAATGGGCATATAATCTAACAAATGATCAAGTATATTTATGAATGGGTATCACTTAAAATGTTTTTTTTTTTAAAACTATAATAATAAAGCACTTTGATTTTGTACCTGTACACATTAAAAATTAGTGTAATCTGTGGCAAGAAGAATGTTCCAAGCAAGCTGGCAGCACCACACTGTATATACTTGAAAAATAAGTAGCAAAGAGAACCGCAAATTAGGATTCAAATTCATATTTCTCACTCCTTGTAACAAAACTGTGGGCTATTGTATAATTTCACACAAGAAAGATTGAAAATATTTGGTACTTAATGCATTTACATGAATGTTCAACTTCCACCATTGAAAACATGCAGACCCAGCAATGCAGTATAATGCCCCTTCTCAATCTCTTCTTCTCTGACCCGATGAAGGAGAAGGGTTTCAATAATGAAATCTTCCCAATCAATATCGAAATGCATTTTCCTCTTTCTTTTCTTCCTATTTTTACCAATATCTAAAACAGAAAGATCATTTTTATCATCGTCATTAGCAGCAGCTGAAGGATGCATAGTCCTCTGAATGCGCAGCTTAGCAGCATATATCTTCTCTCTTCGCCTTTCATATGCCAAGCGACCTCTATCGAATGAAGGAGGTGTAGCATTTAACCCCGTATCTTTCTCCAATATTTGCTTCAGAAAAAGCTTTCTGCTTAGTTCCGATTCACCCTTCCACCAGTCGGTAAAACTAAGTATGTCATATTCTCTCCCTTTCCCTGTTCTGGTGTATCCATTCTCGGTACTTTCCTTGGCTATAGACGCCTCATTCTTCAATTCTAAATAAATCACTGACAAGGACTCGTGAGAAAGGTGTAATCTTTCTGGAGCTTCGGTGTGCAAAGCTTGGGAGTTTTCACCTTTGAAATATTGCGAATCATTTTCAGTGCCATAAACATCGTAGCCATATAAATTTTCCTTGCTCAGGCAGTCACCAACCAAGAAATTTGTATCATAAACAACACATTCAGAACCATTTTCCTTGTCAACGAGGTTCGACATTGACTTCAACTCCATATACTGAATAACAGATGGTGCATTCCGCATTATATTCTTTGTGTTAACATCCTTACCCCAAGGCAAGGATTGGGCAACCTTTACGAGTCTCTCCAAAAGCTCTTTATATCTCAATTTACAAGTTTTGAGGGCCAAATGTAACTCGCTTGCCACATCTCCCATCTTAATGGCAATTTGATTTAGCTCTGCAACAAAAACCAACACTGCTGCAACCACTGGCATTGGCCTCCTTCCCGTTGTCACAAACCAGTTCACCAAGCACTGCACCAAAAACACCCCTTGCTTCAACATCCTCGAGATCATATCCTCCGAAACCTCCCTAAAACTTGGACAGCTTCTAACTGCCTGTTCAAACGAGCTCACAATATCAAACTCTGGCAACCTCAAATCAAGAAAATCCACAACCCGTTTGATCATTCGACCCATTTCGTAAACATCACACCCAACTAAATTTCCCACTTCCTCCATGGACAACGCTTTCAAATCCTTCCTCATGACAATGTAAGAGCATGCACCAACAAGCACAGAAAACCATCTCCCTTGACCATATTCACCTTCAGTGATTTTCTCAATCATATGTTTAACCTCACTTGATTTTGTCGCTGAAAACCCTAACTTATACATCAAATCATCAATCACCTTCTGTGCTTCATAAATCTTAGTCTCTTTATAACTATAAAGGCTTCCATTGCCCACAGTTCCAACACGAACATATGTACCAACCGGACCATTAATGCCCCCAATATGAGCCTGGAAATTGTCAAAATCCTGAACAACGCCGCAAGATGTGCAAACCGAATTGCCGGTGTCATGGTCCGTGACAATAGCTTTCCCTCTAGCACCACAACTCTTGCAGACACGAGAACCCTCCATATTCTGATCAGATATTCTGAAATTATGTAATAGAAGTTCTCTAATTCCTAGCAAAAATAATTTAAGAAAAAAGGGTTGAATATCTAAGAAAGGATTAAGGCAATGAATCAACAAAAAAATGATAAAGCGAAACTTCACGCTAGAAAGTTTATGAGTGATATATGAGCTGGGGTTTTCATGGATGCAATCGAAAATCCCCTCCAACGTTACCTCTCCGTGCTTTCCCAGGTTTTTGCGAGTTTCTGGTTCATAACCCTCGCCGGAAAACACCTCATATATCTCCACTCCGTGCTTTCTTTCTTTTTTTCCTTTCACAAAAAAGGAAAAAGGAAAAAACCCAAGATTTGCAAACCTGGCCTGTTTATATACCGTTATATCGTACAAAATAATGTCGTTTTGTTAAGTAGGTTCAAACTCATCACCTCTCACTTAGGAGAGTAACTTGGTACAATTGGATCACAAGTTCCTTAATTGTTAGATTAGGTGTATTATCCTTTCAAAAAAAAGTATATGTATTTTGTTATACAATTATGTATATTTTATTATACAATTATGTACATTTGAGGCATTAGAATTTTTTTTAAGAAATGAACAGCAGACACGGAAAACAGAATTTCAAAAAAAAAAAAAGTACAAAACAACGTCGTTATGGCCTGGTGCACGATATAATTTCCCGTTTATATATATAACGAGGTGTTTGGCAAATACTTAATAGCGGACTAGGTTTAGTTGATTTGGGTAGTTGATAGCATTAACTGATTATATAAAGATATTTGGTAAATTAACAGTTAGTTGATATATGATTACATGCAAAATGATATTTAAAGATATAATTTATTTTATTTAAAAAAAAAAAAGTTAAATCGAAAAAGTTGTTTTGAACAACTTTTTAAATTTTAACGTTTTGGAGCAATAAGTTGTTATAAAGAGCTGGTTAACCAAATATTCATATTGACTATTTAATCAAGTCAAACATCTAATAATTGTTAAACAAGTCAAAATTGATTAATAAGCTAATTATGTTATCAAACATGACCATATGTGATCATGTGTGGTTTAGGTTATGTGCTTGATTTATGTTAATAAAGGTATACATATTTTACTTTAAATATTTTATATTTTATTTTATTTGACAAAATCCTTTCTATTGTATTTTTATTAGACAAATTGATCATTATGTTATAATTCCGTTACTATTTAATAACACAATCATTGTTACCTATATCTATTATATTATTTATATCTTTTTTCCTATCTTTTAATTATTACGGAGTATTTTATTATATATTACGGAGTATTATATAACAATTAATTTAATTGTATATTATACTTTAATTAAATATCTATGAATTTTAAATCATATGTGTGTATATAATACATATATTATTTGTGTGTGTGTATACCAATATATGTGGATGTTAGCTTAGTATTATACTAATTGTAACCAAATTGACATTTACAAGACCTCTCATTCAACAATGAAAAAAATCACCAAGTTAGTAATCAAATGCAATTTGTCACTTTTGTGAAATTATTAATTTTTTTCGCGTTAAATACAGAAAATGCAAGACTCATTTGCATGATAATATATATATATATGCAAAACGCGAGTGAGACTTGCGTTTGTCCTCTGTATTTTCGTAAGGAAACATAGGGACCTTTCAGTTGAGTTACCATGATTTACATCCTCCCAGATAGGGGTGAGCAAAAAATGAAGACCGACCGAAAAAATCGATGTCCGATAACCGAACCGATCGACCGACCGAAATTTTCGATCGGTTCAGTTATCGGTTATTACCTTTAAAAATTTTCGGTCATTTCGGTTTTTCGGTCGGTTATCGGTTTTGGACCAAAAATAAGAAAACCGACCGAAAAATCAAGGAAGAAGCCCACACATTTTGACTTAGCCCATTACTTTTCTGTTATCTACTAGCCCAATACTAATTTACACTATAAATTTAAAATATAAAATATTAAATTATATTACAAAACATATATCATATATGTATGCAGTATGCGTCTATCTAAACATACAGTATTATATTTTGTTTAAAACATATGTAGTATGCATGTATCTAAACATATATATTATATTCTGTTAGACCTGTTTACCTACAAAACATATATCTATGCAGTATGCAAATTTAATTTGTTAATTATATTCTGTTTAAAATTTACAGTTTATCTTCTATTTTGTACTTTAAGTTTTAGATTGTGTTTGGACTTTGGAGTGTGGACATTGGAATTTTGGGCATTTGATTTTGAAATTCTTAGGTGATTGATTGTTTCAGAAATAAATAGATATGTATCTGATAGAGTCTACATCGTACGTAGAGCGCTCAAGCGCTTTTTAGGCCAGCTCAGTTCTCTTATCCATCGGTCCAAGAACGGCGAAGTCCATCCGAACCGTCCAATGAAGAATAAGAGGAGAGCAAAGCGAAAGCGCCAATGGCGCGCGAAGCGCATGCGGAATGGGCACGGAGAAAAAGAAGTGTGGAGGAGAAGCAGCCGAGTTCATTCCCTTCGCTTCCTGGGTCAAAAGCAGTCTTTCCCGGCCAAATAAAGGATCTGGGGCTTCTTGCTAGGCTACTTTACTATAAATATCCATTTTTTTAGTAATATATGAATAGAAAGATAGATCCATCCATCTAGCTAGTAATGTGTTTTTAGTGTTTAAAATTTTAAATTTAGACTAAATTTTTAAAGAAATTTCAGCTCGTTAGGTAATTAAGTTCGGTTAAAAATAATCGACCGAAACCGATCAAAATTTTCAATTTTCGATCGATTCAGTTATGAAATATCCGTCGGTTATTTCGATCGATTATGTGAAGGCCATTTGATTTTTCAATTATTTCAGTTATTAACCAAAAACCGACCGATGCTCACCCTTACTCCCAGATGCTCTGTTGGGCTGGAGTGTGGAGAACCCCCTCTGTGATTCATGTTCAGTTGAGTTACCATGAGTTACATCCCCCCAGATGCTCTGTTAGGCTGGGGTGTGGAGGACCCCCTCTGTGATTTATGTTCAATTGAGTTACCATGATTTACATTTCTCAGATGCTCTGTCGGGCTGGGGTGTGGGAAAAAAAAAAAGGACTAGCTCCACCGGGAGAAAAGGACATTTACAACCACACACACAAGCCGGAAAGATATTCGAATCTGTAAATCTTTTAACTGCTGCAATAACATGATCCATAGAAAGAATAAACCACAGCATAAAAAAAAAAAAAAAAAAAAAAAAAAAAAAAAAAAAAAAAGCAAGCAAAAACGATCTCCTTTTTCCACTCACGCTTCCCGGCCTGCTTCATGAAGGGTCACACCGTCAAAAGTTCTTTCGACCCTTTGATCAAACAAGCGACTGGTGTACAAGAATCCCGTCAACCACCAAAAAGATAGGCAGCTGCTTGCTCTTCATTGCCATCAAAAAACTTCAAAGCCTGTATGACTGCTGCCCTTCCAAACCCCAGCTCGACAAGCTTGGTAACTTTCGCTTCAAAATTAGTTCCCTGCTCAAATAATCACATGTTGTAATGAATATCCACATCATCGTAAAGCTATGAATACAAAACTCCACTACATATTATTACCTCGGATAGACTCTGACTCGAACGTCCTGCATGCCAATACAGAAGAATCGAGTGTCAGTTGCCACTCATTAAAACCAACGAAAACGTAGTTAAGGAATCTCTGAATCTGATAAAATATTAAAACAGGGAATCTCTCTAGAATGTAACTGTTACAAACTACGGTTGGGTCAAAATCACTCAACTGGGCTATAATGCACATAGGCCAAACCACACTAAAAGACTGAATTCAATCATAGGCCAAACCACATTAAAAGACTGAATTCAATCCGAATAGGCTCTGATACCATGCTAGAATCTAAGATTGGACCAAAGTAACTCAGTTGGGCAGCCTGGGCTATAATGCACATGGGCCAAACCACACTAAAAGAAAGACTGAATCCAATCAATTAGCTAATCTAACACATGGCCTTATAAACCCATATGTTCTCTCATATTTTTTCAATGTAGATTCTTAACCATAATCAATTGTTATGCACAAATTCTATCACAACAGCGAGCATACCAGGCTCAGTGTATCCCCTAAGCAAATGTACATTACTAGTGTTCATTGCCATCACAGTAAATATTTGCAGTTTAAATGTTCATTGCCTTTGATGTAAATCGTCATCTCATTTACGAATAATATTCATCAGTGACTTTAAGCTTGGTGCACCACGGGTTCACAGTATACCAGTTATTCGTTATGCCATGCTAAAATAAGTGTAAAATTTTCTTTAATTCAGGAAATGTCTACAAAGACAGAAATCACATTACAGAGTCACAAAATTTGGAAGATAACCTAAAACACTAACCAGAAGGACCTCCGGTTGGGGTATTACTCTTCCCTTTAGATCCAAGCGTTTCCTTGACATTATAAAACAGCCAAAATCAGTTCAACAGGCAGAATCTCAATTACTCAAACTCATTCAGAGAAAAACGAAGAGAGAGAGAGAGAGAGAGAGAGAGAGAGAGAGAGAGAGAGAGAGAGTGAGTGGATTATGTGTACTTGTGCATCAGAAACAGAAGCCTCCTTGGCATGCCTCTCTTCATCCAGCAACCGAGATGGAATGTCCTTCTCTGAAACGTCAAAAACATGATATACTTTTATTTCAGTCGCTGAAAAGCCAAAGCAATTTTAATTTCTGTGCTGTTGTTGCTGAAGAAGTAAAGGAAAAGTGACGGGGAACATAATAAACCATGTAGAAATGGTACGGCGACTTCTCCTCCACCAACTCTAAGGACATTTTCCTTCAGATCAATCATACACTGCAATGAGGTTTGAGTAATTATGTCTTAATAACATGTGAATCGGAAACGAATAAATATGTTAACACCAAGTGGAAAGAACGGTAGTTACCTGATGTTTACGAAGCATATCAAGCCCAAAGAGAAATTCCATATTTGGGGAATCCAGAACCAGAAAGGAACAAGGGTAAAATACCGACCCAATCTGCCAGAGTTCATTCAAAAAGACAACTTACCCCGTGCCTAAATAACTCTTCATAACATACTTTCTCATGATTATGCACTTCCAGAAATAACTAAAAGGATTACTAAATATTCTTCACATCATTCTTGCAATAAGATAATTTCAGAAGTGTTACAAACCTTGATTGGAGCCACATGAATTCGACCAAGTATCTCAGATTGACCAACACCGCGGGCAATACCCCTATAGCGTGTATCCAAGAGTCTTAACAATCTGAAAGAGAACACAAACTATAATTAAATTAAAATGCAAGAAGTAGCATTCAATAAGATCAGATCCTCATTCTCACTTCAATTGAAGTAACATATACTCCAAAGTTTTTAGATAGGTATCCATTTTCTTGTAATTGCAATAATATAGTAAAACGTAAGCACACCATCTCTTCAGAAAGCTACTTTCATCAAAGGCCATAGAGGAAAGAACAAGTCCAGAACTAGTAAAAAAAAATGAAATGAAATTTCCTGTGAGTTTATTAGTCTTGGAAATTTCACAAAACCTTACAATACTTAAGTTCTACATGAGCATAAAATATTCACACCAATTAGAACTACTGCACACAATGGTCACAGGAGACACAGTTCTTTCAGACTCACTCTTCTCTACAAGCGACATCACATGGTTTATTATGCTTGGTAGTAAAAAAGTTATATCATTTTCATGGGAATGGATAAGTCATTGAGAGGAATAAAATTGCACCATACCCACATCGTTCAGCACAGCTTTTTGATATAATTGTTGATTGAGCTCCACTATCCACAAAGGCCTGAAGCAAAGAGAAAAAGAAAAATACATCTCAATTGAATCAACTACTAAATGATGCTTAAGCTCTGGGGAACTCAAATAAGTGTTTGAACAAGCACACACCCACAAATACACATAGCAGTATCAAAGTGAACTTAACTTAAGGAGTAAAGTCAAATTCAGTAATAACTGAATACAGAAAACAAAACAATAAATGAAGAAAAGGAGGCAGTTTTAAATCATATTTTTTGTCCAGACACTCAAACTGCTTGCTAAGTTGACTATTATTCCTAACTCAGTCCAACAAGGATTTGCTTTGTATTCGGAAGTGAAATTAAAAACAAAAACAAAGTTTTCAAAAAAAAAAAAAACAGAACAAAACAAAAAAAAAACAAAAACAAAAACAAAAACAAAAAACAAAAATGAAAAAGATTCTCACTGCTCTAGAAAGACAAGATATGCTTCTCATTAGATTACGCATGTGGTTTTCATAGTAAAAACAAGTGTGTTAATCTAAGTACTGAAGCAAGCAAAGCCTCTTTCCATACCTTTAAAGGGACACTATTGACTTCCATGTCAACATATAACATGACCTGAAAGAAACAAAAAATAATAATAATATAATATAATAATAATAATAATAATAATAATAATAATAATAATAATAATAATAATAATAATAATAATAACAACAACAACAACAACAATAGAAGTAACTAGCAGCCAAGTTATACATTCATTTAAGAAGCAATCATTCAGTTTCACATACCACCCTTGCAAAAGCTTCAGGATTGTGCTCTATGGCAGCTTCCCAGTTCTCATCAATACTTTTCTGCAAGATGCAAGGAATAAACATGAGAATTAATATGGGTAATCTTGGAACACAAGTTATTCTACCTGTAAATCCAAATTATGAGGCAAAGGTGGGAACTGCCAAAGTTCCTGCATGATGCAAGGTTGGAAAATGGTGCTTTGTATATATAGATCTCTAATGCACACACTTTAGCACTTTTTAGAATTTAATTTTTACTTGTTCCTAGTATATTTTGTGCTAGATTGAATTAATTCTTTGCATTTTATGTTATTGAGGGTCCATTGGTCCAATAAATGGTTTGAATGGTTTTGATACTTTAGGGCTATCCTGAATGAAAAGTTAATGTAAGAAACCTTAAGAGCAAGTCCAGAGCCAAAAACCAAAGATAATTTACATTCAGGATGACCTCCGCTCGTTATTTTGATCATATCTCACTACAGAAATGTCCAATTGGAGTGATTGTTGCAGTATTAGAAAGAAAACTCAAAAGGTTACAACTCCTATGAAGATTACAAAGTCTAATTAGAAGTTACAGAGGTAAAAAAATAACTCGGAGGTCAGAGACTCAGAGGTGCACCTAGAGTAGTTGGAACAGCTCATTGCCTCTTCTTGCCATGGCAAGAGGAGGCAGAATGTTTTGAAAAGTAGAGGCATTTGCTTGATGTGGCAAGAACCTGCAGATCTACAATTTTTCAGTTGTTCAAAAATTACATTTTAGCCCTTATTTTTGCCCCACTATATTTAGTTCTCTTATCCAAAAGCCCTAGAACATTACTCCACAACCCTGCAACACCAAAATCTTAGAGAGAGTGCATGTTGAACGGGGTTTTCCACCATTGGAGGGCAAGGCACGCTCAAGAACTCCAAGATTCAAGGATAAGTACTAGGATCTCAAGCTATGAGGCTTGAGTTTTCTCTTCCCTTGTTCTTACTTTTTTTTTTTTTTTATTGCGACTTAGATTTATAATTTATATTTTGATATTTTTGCAAACAATGAGTAGCTAAACCCTTTTGGGTGTAAGATTTGTGTAGATTATCTATCAATGTGCTTGAACTATTGAATTATTAATGAATGCTATGATTATTTTCTTAAGGTGTATGGCATTGACCAAGTTGTATGCATCTATTTGTTGTATTGTGTATTTGTTTCGATGGAAGTTGAGCATGAATAGAACACACTTGACACACACATTGGTAAAATATCACATGGAGACCAATTGATTAGCGCTAGGTTTATGTGCCCACGGGAGTGGGTAGAAATTTAGGGTGGATCTTTAGATTTCTTCTATGCTTAGTACTAATTTGCTTAGTATCTTTAAAGTAGGCTTACTAGCCTATTAGAATATCAGTAGATCATGGGTGTGGCCACGATTGCCTGAGTGTAGTCTCTCACAACCAATAGAAATGACTAGCATTCTAGCATAGGAAGCAGACGCTAGATAGTCACACAAGTCCTACCCCATCCTCTCTTCACTTGATTTCTCTTTGCATTAATTGTATTTGAATGACTAGTTATTATTTGATTTTGTGCATCTACTTGCATGTTACGATTGGACTAAGAGTAAAGAAAATGCCACTCTTTCTAAGAAAACAATAAGAATGAGTTTGCTTCTTATTATAGATATTAGTCAATAAACCAACAATCAAGGACTAACGGGTTATGAGCCAATAAACTAAAGACCGGGTGTTACATCTGCAATACTTAATAACATTACCAGAAAGAAGCTTGTAGGAAAAAATGACTCATTTAAAAGAACAACCAACATTAATTTTCAGTCTATTCTAGATAAAATCAACTTATATATTTAGAAAGGTTAGGCACTATTGACCAGTATGTCTTTATGAATTATGATATAGCAAATGACAAGTAAGTTTCCTCGGCAAGGAGATATAAAACAGAATTTTGCAATTTTCTATTTTGCTATTGAAACACTCGTACCAAATGAGGAGGATGTAAATAAAAGGCATAATAGATGCCAAAACACATGAGAAAGAAGAGGCAAAGAAGCAGCACTGACCTGCCGGATTGCTTCTTCAATTTTCTTTTGTGCCTCTACATCAAATGGATCTGCATAAAGTAGTGCCTGGATAACAAAACTACATAGTCAGGTAATGCATTTTAACTTGGGAGACCTACCAAGAATTAGATACTGGGGTAATAATGATGCAAATATATAACTTCATAAAATATAAAATCAAGACAGTAAGAAGGAATATCAATACAAGATGTATCTACCATCTCCTCATCTTTCCTGCGAAGGAGTTCTGCTCTCTGTTTATGACGTAGACGCAGAATTTCTTGTAGTTTGTTGAGATCATTCCCAAGAACAATTTGTGCTAGCTCAGGATCACTCTGGGGTTGTAACATAATGTATAGTATATTAGTTTCAGCATATCATATCCTACCCATTTTACTTAGAGGCACAAAGTAATGAAGTCATTAAGTCTCAAGCTGTCCATATAGCCCGTTATTCCCACAAAAGTCCACTACATGACATCAAGCACTGCTACCACTTGGTTTTCACATTTCAAATTCTGCCCACCTTCATTAACATTAAGATGATTGAAGGAGACATGGAAGCAGCAATAGAATCAACAACACAATAGTTCAAAAAAAAGAGGGGTGCCACTTCCAAAAGACATAAGTTCTACATCTATTAAATCAGTTTGCTGTACAGAAGAGTTTCGTAAAGAAAAATCCAATTTATTCCACCTGGAACAGTTTAGCCATCAAATTGGAATCATTCCGTAAATGCTGCTGGAAGGCTGAAGGGTTCACAGCAGAACCATCTGGATTGAAGCCCATTGCACTGGTAGATGCACTGTGATGTACTAATTATTGTCAGCACAATGCAAGTGAAAGTACAGATATATACTTGCAATGTAGAAGGTCAAGAAAAAAGAGAGTTATGATGAAGAAACTAAGTCAAACTATGGGCTATGCTAGTAAAAAGCAATTGCATAAAGACCTATAGTCCTTAAATTGACACTGAGTCTCAAAATATGACAATTATGGAAAGAAGAAAGCATCCACCAACAATTAAATAGCTGTACAATGATAAACTTATATCAAATATGTATCTAGCGGCGGCATCAATCATAAAGATTCCCACTTTATCCAAAAAGAGAAACAAAGAGATAGTATTGAACAACAGATCTGTACAATTATAAACTTATGTCAAATAGGTAAAAATAGCAGCATCAATCATTAACATTAAAAAGAGAAACAATGATGTAACACTGAACAATATATGAAATTGTAAGCAGCCCATCCCGGAGGGATAAAGGTAAGACACAATGACCACAGGGCTAAGAGATTTTTATAATTCTCAATCAGGGCAGTAAGATAAACTAAGCCTAAGGCCGTATGCACTGCGAAATTGCAAACTAGGCACCTAGATTGAGACACTCCTGCCACCATCATCACCAAATCTCCATCACTAACGCCAAGACCACTTAGCTTCTCAGCATTTCTAATCTCCTTCCCATTATATAGCAGCTGCTGTTGCTGAAGCGGCACCTGCGTCTGCTCATCCCATAGATAAATTTAAACACTCATAACCATCATTCAATAATCAATCATAAAATTTAAAATTTAAAGAATAAAAATAAAACATCGTTTTTAATCGAACCTCAACTTCCAGTAATGCTTTCAAGTTCTCGACCTGATAGAATGGCAAAACAGAAAATTTAGGGCTCAGTAGGCAAATGATTTAAAAGGAAAAAAAAAAAAAAAAGAAAGAAAGTAGAAGTCAATTACAGTTTCATCTCGATCGACATCGAGGGTTATGATTTGTTCGTCAGCTGTCATTATAGTGATCTTCATCTCTTTTTGTCTTTTGACTGATTTTCTATTGTTTTGAGGAGATTCAATACGGAGATATCTACTTCATATATGATTTCTTATCTAAAATTGTTACTGCAAAAGAAATTCTTTTCCGTTTGACGGAGGGCTGACCAGTGACTACTCTTGTTTACTTGCAGCGCAGTGTTCACTCTTTTGTATGTTTCTATTTCTTTTTACTCTTTAAAAAAAATTGTTATAAAGTACTATGTTTATATTTATATACTATAAAAATATGGCCTTTCAAAAAAAAAAAACTATAAAATACGGAGTAAAATATTATATTATATATAATAATACTTAATATTTTTTTTTTGTTTGGATGTTACTGACTCTATTTCATACTTTCTCAACTTAATGAAACATAAAGAGTCAATAATATTTTCACTGAGGATCGATCACATGACCTCCACAAAAGTATTAATTATATGTAATTATGTTATTATTTTACTTTCTATAAATTGTCTATTTAAATTCTACTATATTGATGAAAACAGAATAAAAATACATAATTACTTAAATTGAACAAATCACACATAAATTTCATAAGGTACTTTGACCGAATTAATCAAATATTATAAATATTACAGTTACAATTTACGAATACATAATAAGCAGGAACGGCGGCTGAGTGAGCGTTCTCTCAGTTGGCGCCTTGTATGGTTGGTCCGCTGGCGGAGGGTATTACTGTACTGCAAGTCTGCAATCACCCAATCGCTTCCACCATTATTCTTCCTCTTCAAATTCCACATCCCCTCATACAAACTTCTATTCACTGTTCACCACTCACCCACAAACCCTAGATCTCGGTTTCATCTAGTCCGGACTTCTCAATCCTGATTCCCTTGCGTTTTGCCCTAACCTTCTACTGATCTTCGGTTTTCATGATTTTTTGATCCGCAGTTGTTGTGAACTTGAGTTTTTGGTACCGAAATTGCTTGATTCCGTTGATTCTGAGCAATTCGTGCTTGAGTCCATATAGTGCATTCCGATTATTGAAGAATGGCGGATAAGCAGGTGATTAAGCGAGCTAAGTACAAGTCATCAGTCAAGGACACTGGCGTCCCTGGCGTTTTGAAAATGGTACTTTCCTCCTACACCTGCATTCGTTTTCTGTTTGGCCCAAATTTGTTGCAAAGCTAATAATGATTCAATATAATGAATAAAAAAAAGTACATAGCCAGACAAAGAAAAGGAATTGTGGAACGAATTTTATACTTAGTGTACTAATTAAGTGCTCAAATATTGTGGTTCTTTCTTTTCTAATGATATGTTTTATTTTAAGACAAATCTCACTGGATTTGGACAAATATGATTTTTTTTAATGTGTATTACGGAGTAATAGATTTTGCCAATGTGGCATTTTATCAAGAGTAATTGATTATTTTTTTTTTTCTTTTTCTTTTTCTGCTCTTGTGCAGACCATGGAAAAGTTCATGTTTAAGGCCAATGACCCGAAGTCATCATCATCCAAGCTTAACGTGGAGTTTAGACTGATTAAAGGTGCTTATTCATAAGCTCTTTCTTCCTTAAGGTGAACTGCAATGTTCAGTCATGTCTATGGGCTGAGTAATGCTATTGCAATGGAATTTAGTCAATATGATTGCCTTAATGAGCAGGTTTCTATTTGTCTACGCTACTTCTCTCCTTTTACCTTTTTCTTGAGGTAATAAATACCTGATTTGGTTTGGTTTTTCTTGATCATGCTATGACCTTGTGAAAGAGAAAACTAGTAGCCATTCTTTGTATATTTGTTTTGTTCTCTAGTTTGAATGTGTTGCTGTCAAACAAATCTTAATGTGCTTCTGAGGGTACCGTACCAGTAAGCAGGCTTACTAACCTGTCATCCCTTCATTGAATTGTAGGCCATAGATTCACTAAAGAGGGTACCAGTAAGCAGGCCTTGCTTAATCTTTCCCAGGATCAGGTTAGTAATGTGGCTTGAAAAAATAATTTGTGCCACCTCTTTCGGTGTCTAGTGATTTTTATTTTATAATAATAACATCTTATTCAGTAGAATTCTGTATCACTTTTAGGGTAAAAACTATATTTTTGAGTTCGACAGTTTCTCAGACCGTGATGCTTGCAGAGACTTTGTGGGTAAGTCACCTTGGTTGGTTCTCATTTTGGCAACATTCAGAATATTACTACTCATTTCTTGTTTCATGAACAGCATCAGTCATCACGTCTAGTGGAGATTCTGGGAAAACTGCCCCTGCCCCTGCCCCTACACCTGAAAGTTCTGCTGTTCCAAGAGATGAGCAACTTAGTACAGCTGAAATGGAGCGCCGAATTAAACTACTTCAGGAAAATAGGTAAATTTATTTTCCTATAGGTGACAGTCTAAAGTTACTGATTTGTCTGTCTGGCCTTTTCTAGATGGCTTTTCATGAGTGGCAAAGTATACCCTTGTCAGATTCGTTTTCTAACTCCTTTTAGTTAGTCACTCAGATTATTGTATCTCCTTCGTCGTGACAAACTGATTGTATTAAATTGGGTGTATAATGGCTGCCTTTTAAAATTTGATCTGTTTTCAGGCTGAAACAAAGGCTTTCAAGACTGAGCTTAAGGACAGTAAATCTTAAGATTCTACCAAAAAAACAAAGAAAAAAATGTACTGTCATCTAAGTACGATTCCTTATTCTGTGCTATAAATCATGTAGTTACATTTAGTGGAATCATATTAACATAACGAGGCTTATGGTCTTCAGGTATAATAATATGCAAATGGAATTGTAAGACAAGTTGAGTTTTTTTTTTTTTTTTTTTTTTTTTTCTCAGACTCAAGTTGGGCCTAGTTCTGCACTTGATTTTACCTTGAGAAGTCCCCTAAAATAAAAATTCTAGCTTTAAAATTTTCTTTGTTTATTTTCATTATCCCCATTTTATTAGAAATATATATGTATTTTGAGTATAATTTCCTCCACTTGTTTAGTGTCCCATTTATGGCAAATTCAGTTTCTAGTCAGAACTGCTTGTTAAATCTTGACCTTCCTTGATTGTTTATCTGTGAACTTTTATCTGATATATTAGGTTTCACTCACTAACAATTTTAAGTGGCAGTGAATTACAGAAACTTCACAAGCAATTTGTTATAGGCGGCATTTTGTCAGAGGGCGAATTTTGGGCAGCAAGAAAGGTCAGAAACTGGAATAATTTTTCTGTTTCCCACCATATGTCATAGACTCATAGTAATGAGTCCATTAGCTCTTTGAGCCATATATAGGACAACCATTTGCCAAGATCTGTTCTAAAAAATGTGATCTTCGAATTGAGTGCAGAAGCTACTAGATCAGGGTGATGCTAAGAGGCCAAAGCAACAGGTAGCTTTGAAAAATCACATTTGGCATAAAAAACCAAATATTGATGGTCAGGTACAGTTGCATCTCCCACATTTCCTCTCTCTTTATCCAACACCAAAGAACTTCTCTCTCTCAGTGCACTGTGTTGTTACTTTTGCTTAATTTTTGGTTTTCTTCTATTTGGTATGCCATACATCTAAGCTGAACGGGGTGCACTTCACTCCATTGTTGGTGGTTTTTGTTATAAACTAAGATTGGCTAGGGCCACTCAATTGGGCTATAATGCACATAGGCCAAACCACATTAAAAGATTGAATCCAACCAATTAGCTAGTCTAACCCATGACCTTATAAACCCATATGTTCTCTCTTATTTGATCAATGTGAGACTCTTAACAGTTTTGTTTGAATTTTGACTATTTCTTTCTTATACTGTTGTTAACAAGCCCAAATTATATATTACCTTTTGCTGTAAATTTGTTATTCTTACCTGTTTTGTCTGTCCTTTCATATTCTTATGCAGAGTTTGTGACACTACTTATCTTTGTTGTTTATTCAGCCAAACAGGATTACCTTTAACTTGACACCTGAGATCATTCTTCAGGTATATTGTTTCCTTTTTACTTTTCTAAACATGACACTGTACAACACATTTAATTATCAGAAAAAAAAAGCTTAAAATAAGAATTATCAGGTACTGTCATAAATTTGGTCCAACAAGATTTTTTAAGGATTATTTGTTTCTTCATGATATATCATATCTCTAAATCAATATATCTGTTCTACCACCAAAACTATGAGCAGCTGGGAATTCTGTGGTAACTTTGGATTCTACAACTGAGAGTTGGGGTTACCACTAACACATCCATTCACAATTGGCTTCTAGCTTGTTGCTTGTAAAAACTAAACCGAAAAAGTATCCTTAATTATTATGTCATTGCATCTTCTCTGATTGACATATCTCTAATGCAGTCCTTTCAACTCTATTTGAAATTCCTATTGCAATTCTTGCAATATTTTGAGTTTTAAATTCAGTGTTGGTTTCTAGTTTCCGAGTTGTTAGCTTGTATCATGTGTAAAAACTAAATGGAAAAGATGTCCTTAATTCTCATGTGTCATCATCTTCTCTGATTGAAAATTTGCCCAATATTCCTAAAATGTCTAGTTCAAAAATCTATTTCAATCCTTGCAAAATTCTGAGTTTTAAACTTTCTGGATGGCTCATTAATATTTTTTTTTAAAAAGAAAATTAACTGGTAAAAGAGCCTTACTAGAGTTAATACTAATGAATATGTATTGTCAGAGTAAGTATATTTTTGCTATATTTCATTTTGACTTTTTAATTTAAATGCTCTTCAGATTTTTGCAGAGAAACCAACTGTTCGTCAGGCATATCTTAAGTTTGTTCCAAAGAAGGTACACAGAACATTAGTGTATTGCCACTTTAGAGCAGTTCTGTCATTCTTAAGATGGTATTTTATTTTTTAATTCATTTGTATTGTATTGCAATCTGTGCTTTTGTTTCATGCATTCTAGATGACAGAAAAGGAGTTCTGGACAAAATATTCAAGAGCTGAATATCTCCAAGGCATGAAAAATGCTTTTGCTGCTGCTGCAGCCGAGGCAGCTGAAGATGAGGAACTTGCTGTTTTTCTGAAACAAGATGAAATCTTGGCAAATGAAGCTAGGAAAAAGGTGCTTTACTGATGAATGATGATAGGAGTTTCCATATTTTTTCTGTCAACCTCTTTTATGGTGAAATATTTCATTTGTGCTGCAATGTGCCAATATGATGCCCTCTCTCTCTCTCTCTCTCTCTCTCTCACACACACACACACACACACACACTTGTTCTATCTTTTTGGGTTTTCAAATTTCATTAACTTTTCCACAACCTTCGTTCTTTCAGATTAAACGAGTGGATCCAACATTGGACATGGAAGCAGATGAAGGCGATGATTACATTCATCTGCCAGTATGCCCATGGAACTTTGCTCTATAATTTAATTATGTACAATCTTCTGCAAATAATTGACTTTGTGCTTTTACATTATCCCTCTATCTTTTAATTCAATTCTCTCCATTCCCTTTTGTGTAAGCCCATGAAATTTGCCAAATATATTAGTTTATTTTACTCAAGGTTGAGCTTGGTGTGGTAACCAACTGCTCTAGATGGCTGTTAGGTCATGGGGTTCAAACCTTGGAAATGATTGCTGTTAACTAAGGTTACAGTGTTACACAAATCTTCCTTCATAAGACCTTGTTGTCAGGACTTGCAGCTGGGTCCAACCTTTTTATATTGTTTGATTTTTTATTTTTTTTTTATATATATATTTTTTTTTTGCATTTCAGTTCAATGTAAGTTGTTTATGAAATTATAGGATCATGGGCTACCTCGTACTGATACTAAAGAGACTGAAGATTTGCAATTTGAGCCATACAAAAGATCTTTTGGACAAGAGCTCAATCAGCACGCTGCAGTGGTTCTTCGAGGCAGAGTTGTAGGTTAGTGTTAATTTATTTATTTTTATACTAGTTGCAGCCTACAATGTTTGTGTTGGGCAAGATTATATGTTAAGTTTACAGATATGAATTTTTTTATATGCATAAACTGTAGATAATAGATAAATTTTTTGTTATGAGTGTTTGAAAAGTTATACTATCTGTATATTTGTAGGTTTAACAAAACTGTGTGCCATGTATCCGTTATGTGTATTTGCACATGTGAGCATGCATTTGGGGTTTGAGGGGAGGGGGTTTGTTTTACCGCACTTGTGTAGTTTGGTTGAAACTTGAAAGGGTGGTCTACTTTATTCCATCTGTATTTTATTCTAGTTGTAGTGACTTCTGACTTTTTCCTAGATTTACTTGTAAATTCCTGCATCATTTTAATATTTGTCAATTGTTTTGGAAATTTCTTTGCGGGGATGGAATTGATTAATTTGAAGGAGGCTCTTTTCTGTGGTGGCTTGGAGACCTTCCAAATTTGAAGGATCTATGAGTAGCTGAAATGTAGCATGTCTGTTTCCATTATTTTTTGTGTGTAGACAATTAATCCACCAGTATGTTCTTATTCATGTTGCATCCTTTCTCATAGATGAGTTAGGGGACCCAAAATCTGTAGCCGAAGCACTTGGCACTCGAAAAGAGGGTAAGATTCATGCATCTTCAATAATCTAACTTGCCACATTTCTTTAAATACTTTCTTCCTTGGAACTCAGATTTAAAAATTATCCTCTGATCTGAATTAGTTGGTGAAGAATCTGAGGAGAACTTTGGCAGAGAGCGCTCAATACGGGCATCTCGAATGGCTGAGATTGAGGATCTTCAGGCACCTCCAGAACCCCCAGTTGCCCCACTGTCTATCAAGGTAATTTTGTTGTTCAAAATGCATTTATTCTAGCTAAAGTCAATATGGGTTATGACTAAACTTTATTTCTACGAGTTAGGATCCTCGAGATTACTTTGATTCCCAACAAGCTAATGCACTCAAGGCCCTTGGGGATTCGGTAGCTGGTAACAGACAATATAAATATAGTGTGAGCACTGAAGAAGCTTTTAGCTCCTTGAAGGAATTTATCACAGAAATCAATTCACAAGGATTACTAGAGCCAATAGTCAGTCCAGAAGCAGCTTTTAAGGTAACTTCTTGTCTCTTTTTGCTTTCTTTGGATGGGGTGATATGTCATTTGAGAATTTACAATTTACAGGAGAGCATAATCACTCTTTATTATTTGTTCAAAGCCATCTGTCTTTAATGATCTTAAGTAAGAGTAAAGATCTTTATTATGTTTTCCTTCTTTAAACTGGTGTCTAGTGGGAATGTTATCCTTGGTTATTTTTCTTTCATCCTTGTGAGCAAACATCTTTTATTCTTTCATCAATAAAAAGTGAGAAAGAAATTGAACCTTTATCTATTTTTATTTTTATTATACAGGTGTTCAATGCACTGACTCAGAACATATCAAGTACCAAATATAATCTTGGAAAAAACCCTCATGAAAGCGTTTTGGATAGGTTGCCAAGTGCAATCAAGGATGAACTACTACATGTTAGTCATTTGATTTGTGTTTTTTTTTTTCTTTTTTCTTTTTTGATTCATTTTGTAGTATTGACGTTACCTAAGACTGCTCATTTTATATTGTAGCACTGGACAGCTATCCAGGAATTATTGAAGCATTTCTGGTCCTCTTATCCAATCACAACCAAATACTTTTATACCAAGGTAATCTGTTGGCTTTGCAATGAACTCTCTCTAATGAATGACATTTTTTGGCAATTATTTATCCAACATATTTGAGCACCTTCCATAGAAATATGAAAGTATTTCGACCAACTTTACCTGATATTCAACAATTTTTTCTCACTGGATTGACCTGAATAATGCAGTCTCTGGACATTTATAAGACAATATTGGGCTTTATTTTTATAATATTTCCCATGTTTTTTTTTTGCATAAAACCTCAATCTAAATATTCTCGCTGTTGTTACCTTATCTATAACTCTTTTCTCTGTATTGGGTAAAATTTATTTGACACTTTTTTTTATTTTATTTACAGGTGACAAAATTGAAAGATGCAATGTCCCAAATATATCAAAAGCTACAGGTAACTCAAATATGAACATGGTTTTCAAAATACAATCAATACATTGGGGGAAAATTAAAGCTGGTTTCTCATCTCTGATAGCTGAGGGAAAATATCAACTAATAAGTAATTTGGATGTCCTTGTGTTTGAATTCTGAAGGAGGATATAAAATTTTGAATTTTGAAATTTGAATTCAACATGGTAGCTGCATAACTGTTCTACACACTTGTTCAGGAGATCAAGGAATCTGTGCAGTCAGATTTCAGACATCAAGTTTCCCTTCTTGTACAGCCAATGCTTCAGGTCTACTATTTTACTCACTTTACCTGTAGATTGAATAATATATATTTTTTGGTATAATAAAAATGAAATTTGAACTTGTCCTTGTGCCGAACAACTTGGTTGGTTTTCTCACTATCACATATTGAATGCTGAATAAGCTAAAGCCTGTATGAAACTGAATTTAGGTTTGACAATGTTACAAAGATAGATTGGTCCGACCAGTATGTTGTCATTATGTGGTTTTGAAACCCAGCCTAGCCTAGCCTAGCCTCCATGAGATAGATAAATACGTTTTTGATGCAATGTGAAGTAGCTTTCTGATTCTCGATCAGCTAATGGTTACATTGAATGGTGTGGTTTCAGGCCTTAGATGCTGCTTTTGCGCATTATGATGCAGATTTACAGAAGAGATCTGCAAAAAGTGGAGCAAGGTTGAACGGACTTTTGTAGACAAAATATTTATAGTCACTCACTTCAAGTGTTTAAGCAAGCAAAGCAAGCAAGCAAGCGGCCCTCCCTCTGTTTACGGTTTGGTTCTTCTATACAACAACTGTACATCTTACAAAATTTTGTTGAGCTTATTTATTCTCTAATTAATATAAAAACTGCTTCATTTTTATTATGGAACTGCTCTTTACTAATGAGTCCTGTCCAGCACACATACATAGTTGCGTAAAAAGGGAGTTTGAGACTAGTCAATCTCAAAACGCTGCTCAAAATAACGTTTCAAAAAAAGAAGCTACGAGAAAAACCTAATTACCAAACACTTCAAATGCTTATAAAAGTATACCAATTTATACATTTATAAATTATTTTGTTTAAATTTATTGGATACAAGAAATGTGATTCTACTTGGACCTTGGGGTGTTTGGTTGGATGTAAGTGTAATTTTAGTCTTGGATGTAATTGTAATTTTATTCTTTTTAAACTCCGTGGAATTGCAATTTCACACTTCGCGTAATTTCATGGTGAATTACTATTTTACCCTTATTATTATTATTATTATTATTATTATAAGAGTATTTTAGTTTTGATTCATTTTTTCTCTTTCAATTTTCAATCATTCTATTTCTACCTATCAAATAATGTAATTTAAATTCTCATTTTATTATTTTCTTGTAAAATTATAATTCTTTTCTCCTTTAATTTTCTCTTTCCAACCAAATTCATATGCCTATGCCTATTGGCACTTAATCCTATTTTACCCCATAGAAGCATCATATTCATATGCCCGCACTTCTCCTACACATGCAGCCCTATACCTACTTTGCATCAACATTGAAAACTAATAAAATTTCTTTTTCCCCTTTCTAAATAAATGCAGTTATTCTTCTCCCTCAATAGTACTGTACGGCAATCAATTGTTTTCAAAATAAGAAATTGAAAGTTTAACCAATGGGGCACAGATAAGAGCTTAGAAAGAGTATTGGTGCTTTAAACTTCTGGGCATATTATTACCAAGACTAGAAGGCTAGAATGATGAGTATTAACAAACATTTCTATCAATAAAAAAAAATTGCGTGATTCTAAGTTGAATACATAAAGTCTGTCTTTCACCAAATTCTTAAAAGCGGCCGGTCCAGGGATTAATATCACTATCTCAATTATGTATATTTTACTTATTAATAAAAACATTTATTTATTTTTATTTCCATTTATCTCCAACTAATTAATAAACACAACACACCCCCCAATTTGTTTTAATTTATTTGACATAAAATTGAACAAATTAAACAACCCCACAGCTTTTTTTTTTACAGCAACGCGAGACACATAAAAACTTGTATGCTTATTTTTTCCTTTTCATTTTTTGTTTTGTTTTTAAAGGAATATAAGAAAAGAATAGAAACAGGGGACGGAATATAGGAATAAGTGGCGAATTGAAAAGCAATCACATTTTAATTATTATTACTTAATTCCAAATCTAAAACACAAATGGCAGGCAGGCAGGCAGCAACAACGTAACGAATGCAATCTGAATCGTATCCACAAGAGAGAATTGAAGGAAGTAAGAGCAGCTACTAGGATTATTGATTCAGTAGGCGGGAGGCGCCGCCGCGGGGACCCCTAAGAAGGGTCTCTTGCCGGAGGAGCAGAGGGCGGCGGAAGTGGCATTAAACAGATTGTTGCAGTCTTCATGCAGTGTGTCTTTCAGCTTGTGAAATCCGTTCTTAAAAACTCCGAATCCGAACAGCATCCCGATCACAACCACCACCAGTATCAGGCACGTGCACAGCATGCAAATCTTCCCCCCGCAGCACATCTCCGCCGTCTGTCTCTCTTTTTTTCGCCGGAAAAAGATATATAAGATGATCAGTGTGTGTGTGTATGTATATATGTATTCGGAGCTTACCGGAACAATCTGGATCTGGAAATCACCTGGGTTATGGATTGAAGAGAAAAGGAAATTTTGTATGTATATATATATGGAGCAGTTGGATTGGAGTAGTGGAGAAGAGAGATGTGAAGAGAAGGGAAATGAGTGCGGGATTAGACTCGTAACGTTTATGGTCTCTCATTGGTTTTCTAAGCGGTTACTCTACGCATTCTTTTAGTTTCTTTTCCTTTTTTCTTCTTTTTTTTATTTTATGAAACCAGATTCAAACTTTTAAGACTCCTTATCAAACAAAATTCTAAAATGTCAAATTAATAAATATCCATTAATAATCATAGGCCGAAACGTTTACAATAAAGATCATAGAATGATCAAACATTCCTAACAGTCAACCGAAACAACTTCTCTAACAATGCTACAAAAAATTTGATTCGCGAACTGTTTCACAAATTTGAAGCTGAATTCTTTGGAGGAACTTAAACCTTCTTTAATGATTTGGTCAAGCGTAACCAAGACCGACACTGGTGGAATAGTCTTGCACACCACCTGATCTGAGTATCTATTTCCATTCTGCTATCCATTGACAATATCTCTATCGGGCTGAACTGCATATCATAGTTTAGAGGAATCTCTTTTTCATTATCATGTTTGTCACCAAGATGAGATTCACATACGCTATGACGTGTTTTATCGTTTTACGCTTTAGTTTGTAACTTTTTATCGTTGAAATATATATTTCTATTAAAAGTTTACTTAGTATATAATTACTTTAGTACTTTTATTCGTAACTTGATATTTTATTTATAAAATAAAAAAATTTAATTCTATCAGAATTGTACAAGAAAAATAGAAACGATGTACCACGTAAATATAATACTACGTATTATTTATGTCACGTTTTGTGCATAACTTTTAATTTTTGTCACATTTAACTATTCAAAAACAATTGGAATAATGCATTATATTTTTTTTTTTCAAAATCATACCGACTTGAACACTTGAAACTTTTGGAGAGAAAATGTATTGCTTCAAATTGGACATTTACGCATTTCAGTTGTTTTTCTATCCAAAGATTGTAACACAAAATTGAAAGTGTTGCAATAAATATGACAAAAGTAAATTTTAAAAATTAAATTTGAAAAATGATATACATAGTAGTTGTGAGATCAAAAGTAATATAAAAGTAATTTAAAAATTTATGGTGCCTTAAATATACTTTCTAGTTGTATTCTTCACTTTTATATCACTAATCAAATAACGAGTACAATTACTAAATATACTACGGAGTATTTTTTTTATTTTTTATTTTTTATTTTTTGAAAATTACTACGGAGTATATATTATACATTCTATTTAATATAATTATACCATGTTAACGACAAGCATTTTGTGCTCAGATGGCATCATCTGTAAATATTATAATCTAATAGAGTCAATAGTATAAAAAAATCATGTCAACAATTTTCTTCTATTTTATTTTAATTTATCCAAAATTGCTGGCATGGCATGGGCATCTTGACCAATATTTATAAAGTTTTTAGAAATGTTTTCTAAAATCTACGTAAAAAAATAGAATTATTTTGTGTGCTTCTTAACGGATAATTGTGTACGCAGGACTCCATAATTGATAAGAATGTGATGACATGTAATTACGTAAATATAGAATATTGCCTTAATTGGCTCATCAAAATATCAAACGCCCTTTTAAGTAATGGTAGGAAATAAGAAATTATGTCGGTACAAACTTAACTCACTAGTTTAGTAAGTAATATTTAAGAAGATAGTAATTTAGTAG